ATGGCGTAGTATATTAAATCTGGATGTTTTTTCGGGTCAGTTGGCCAGTAAGTAGGTCTTTTTGGCGAGACAAAATCCAGTTTAGTGCTTTGTTAGATAATCGTACTTTATAGTTGTCTGGGGCGAGAGCCCCAGCGAGTGTGCTTCACATTATAGTCACCTGCTGCGTGGAACTGGTCACCTAATTAATTGAAGAAGTGGATAAATTGGTTTTCGGTGACAGGAAAAGACAGAGGCTAGTGAGGTCATACCAAAGTTTTTATTCAGACTTATTGTTGCTGTTATCTGCATGTTCGTCATAAAGTTCATGAGGTTTTTTGCAGAATGGATCTTTTTGGATCTGTAAAGCGATGCTTGTTTCTTGTCGTGTTGTTGTGATTGAAGACATACCTGGATAGCAAAAAGCAAAAGCAAATAACACTCTGGGTGTTGTGCAGAGTATAATGGCGTTTCCGGTTTTGCGTTTTTGGGCGGTCTTAATCGAGGATAAGACTGCTGTGTTGAAAATCAGAGGGCGATTGCTTTTATTCCTGAGTTGCAAGCACTCTTTTAAGGGGTCATATTCAGTTAGAGCTAAAATTTATCGATTTTTTTATTTTATTTACTAATGCGGGTATTGATACATTGAGACCACTATACACGCAGAAAAATGGTTAGAAAGAGCATCCAATTTTTATTGGGTGAGAAAAAATTGGATGTTATATCTATTTAAAATGAAAGATCAAATAACGGTGACGGTTCTTTTAGCAATTTAAAAATGATACCTCCGATTGGTTTTTATATCCTTTGAATTGGATAAGACTGCCAACTTTGTTGGAAATGATAACTTATACTGGAATTCGAATTTCGATTAATGAGTAAATTTTTTTGAAAGGCAGAAAAGAACTCGATTAATCGTAGTTGAAAATCGTATTCGACTGACTTTATTCAATCCTCGAAAATTCTGTTGAATTTATAGGTTAAGAGTTAAATTTTTTATGAAAATAAATTTTTTCAATTCGAGAAAATTCATCATCAATACTTAAATATACCAAAATAAAATCACAAAAATACATTAAAACGATTATTTAACACGTATACGTGAAAAAAAACAAACGGTAATTAATCATTCAAATAAAGTGTTTAATTTTTGTCAATTTTTAAGCCTACAAAAAGCGATAACATTCTCGATTGATTCTCGACTATCATTGGCTTTGCATTTTTCATCCCTACTCTTTTCTGTTCTGTTCGGCTGCTCTCCACGCTCGCTACCACACGCTCGTTCCGGTATTGCACGTTTTTTTGTGGTTAGTTTCTAGAAAATTCTACAAGAAGAGAATGGCATACTGTAGGATTCCAAGAAAAATTACACGCGTATGAAGTTACATCGACTGGGAAAGCCAAATGTATACTTATTGAAAATCTACTCTCGCCGCGTCCTGTTATATGTCAAAGAATGCCAAAAAAAAAAGGTGTATACTGCTTTTAGGTACGCTGTATGATGTAATTAATTTCTTCCTAAAACATTTTCTCTGTATATATTTTTACTTTCTAGATTAATTATGATACCGATTGTTATAAGATTAATATACTTCTAAGAATACTCCATTTTTAATATTTGTTAACAAGAAATAAAAATAAATTATGTTCAGAATTTATATTTGTGTACGAACTAATTACATCCCTCAAACCTTTTGTATATATGAGCTCAAAAATTTATAAACTAATTGATTTTCTTTTTCATAAACGTAAATCAAAAATATAAAAAAAATAAAAAACTTATTGAAAAATTTTTTAAGCAATTAAAATAGATATAATATCACTGGTAGATGGTTTTATGAACCAACTAAATAGCAACCATATACAAACAAGTTGGATCAAGCAAACAAGCGCTTGTTTTGTCTCTCTCTCAGTTGGTGAATATGTATATCCAATTCCTGTGGATCCAAGAAAACTAGATAAACCACCAACAAATTGGATCGCTCCCCAGCACCTATTTAAAATAGTTGTATTATCCAATACACAGGTCTATATTTCCAACTATTTTCCTGCGTGTATGGATACTGCTTGCCATTTGATTGGTAATAATTTCACGGTCGCACTGCCTTTTTAATGTTAAATTCAAATTTTATTGTTTTGTTTTTTATATTGTGTTTATCCCGTTAATTTTAACGATTAATGGTTTTCTGTTGTTACCTTTAATTGTTAACAAATATTTTCTATACATTAAAGCCTCGCTTTCTTGTTCCGTTTTGTCGTCAACTTCAATGAATGAGCAATATTTTACTTTTTATACCCTTGCAGAGGGTATTATAATTTCAGTCAGAAGTTTGCAACGCAGTGAAGGAGATATTTCCGACCCTTTAAAGTATGTATATTCTTGATCAGAATCACTAGGAAAGTCGAACTAGATATGTCCGTCTGTCCGTCCGTCTGTCCGTCCGTTTCTACGCAAATCCACAGATTTAAAGCTATCTGCATGAAACTTTCCCAAAAGTTGTCTTTCTATTGCAGGTAGTACATAAGTCAGAAAAAAAAAATTAATTTAAACTCAAAAAAAATCTGACATCTATTTACAATAGAAAGTTTGAAAGGTTAAGAAGTTTATTCGGTATCGACAGATGTTGAACGAATTAATATATACCAACAAAAAACTTGTTTCTATTAATTTACTTTGTGAGTATAACAGCAGTATTACTTTTATTGTGAGTGTAAAAAACAATAGGCAAGGTATCGCCATAGGAGCTTGGAATAGATTAAGTGGAATAGATAAGTGATTTGGTAAGATTTCATTAAGTACAAATCAGAGAATGAATAAATATATTAAATAATTGTTATAAGTGCAAGGGTATATGGCTTGACAAAGTTTCCTTTCGTTCTTTTTTTTTACAATAAAGTCAACAAAAACCGTTAAATTGCTTTATTAAAAGGTGCAAACAAACAAGAAAGAACGGTATAGTCGAGTTCCCCGACTATTAGGTACCCGTTACTTTGGCAAAAAACTTGAAACTAAGTATTTCCCCTACAAAACAATCGAAGTTAAGGTGGCGCCATCTGTCGAATTGCATAGCCAACACTAGAACTAACAGTTCCTTCGTTCTATCTCCCTTCTGCAGCGAATAACACCAGAACAGCGGCCGAGCAGCGGCAGAGGCGCGGCCGAGCTGCAGCAGAGGCGCGGCCGAGCTGCGGCAGATGACTTTATAAGGACTTAATAAGGGCTTCATATAGGTCGGAAATACTTCCTTCTACCTGTTACGCACTTTTAAACGACTAAAATATACCCTTGGAATATTATTAAAATAGTCAACAAATTCAAAATGTACAAAATTATATGAAAAACAATTTTTAAAAAGTAATACTAATAACTACAATTTTAATAACCGTACATAAAAATTTCTTTGCTTAATCATACAATCTATCACATTTAGTTTGAGCCAATAGGACTTTTTAAGTATTTCCGCATACTCAAAATCGAGAAATATCTAACTACCTAAATAACTGTGAATTGCTTCGAAGCTTAATAAACTATTTTAATGATCAATACACTTGTACGAAAGCTTGCTTTGATACTGGATGCAGACTAGAGGCCAACAATTTTATTATTGACACCCGCAACGGTCATTTTAAATGAAACTGTTTAATATTCATGCATTGTCAGAACTGTGTATGTGTTATGCTTTTAGAGCTTTGCAGAAATAAGACTGTAGTTCCAAACAAAAACTGTTATCAAATAAAAACACCTCTTGACGAGGTTCTTATTACGTGACGATTGCACCTTTAACTCCAAATACTTTTGATATCCGATTTTGTAACTATTATTAGTTATTTTACCAAAAATAATTACTTATTATACCCTTGCAGAAGGTATTATAATTTTGGTGATAAGTTTATAGCGCAGTGAGGGAGACGTTTCCGACCCTATAAAGTATATATATTCTTCAGGATCAAGATGGGAGTACGTTCAGCCATGTTCGTCTGTCTGTTTTAATACAGATCAAGTTTGAAAAGCGCTTCGATCGGACGTCTATATCCTATAGCTCCCATAGGAACAACAGGGTGATATCGCTTAAAATTTTATATTTTTCAGGATATTTCGCGCAGTATGTAAGCTATTTTGGCAAAGTCTGCAAGAGTGTTTAAAGTTTCCGTCCTCGTTTTTATTCAATTTGATTTGTAATCGACACAAAGCTGTTACTTAACAATTTCAAAGCTGAGAGCTGATTACAAAACAAATTGAATAAAAAAGAAGTCATTTACTTTGGTAAAATAAATAAATGTCGTTACTAAATCTTATATCAGAAGTTTTTTGTGCTATCGTCACGTAAATTTAACCTCGTCAATCTTATTTTGAAGAACATTTAAATAGAGTGAAAAACAGCGAGGTTATACATATTTTAATACCCTTTAATCGTAGATTAAAAGCGTATATTGTTTCGTTGAAAAGTATGTAATAGGTAGAAGAAAGCGTTTCCGACCGTATAAAGTATATATATTCTTGATCAGGATCAATAGCCGAGTCGATCTAGCTATGTCCGTCTGTATGAACGTCATGACCTCGGGAACTATAAAAGCTAGAGATTTGGGATGTTTATTTCAAAACGGAGCCACGCCCACTCTAACGCTCACAAATCGTGAAAGTATGTACTGTCACTCTGTGACATGTAAGACCGCAGTTGGACTGTATGTGTGTGTGTTTCGAGTATTTCTAGCAAATCGAGCTAATATTTATGAAATTATAGGGTTTTAAGTTCCGCCTCTGCTCTGCCGGAAATCGCTTTACTAGAGAAACAGGACGAGAAAACTGTAAGTGGGTGGTGGGGGTGGTTGACGCACTTAGCTTTTAGTGTTGGCTATGCAGCTCGACAGATGGCGCCACCTAAAATTCGATTGTTTTGTAGGGGGAATACTTTTCTAGAGGCTTTTTCGATAACTTTTTGAGTGGTAAGAAAAGTGACCAGTTTTAAGTTTATTCGCATCCGTAAGAATTTAAGGATCAAAGACAGGGCTGATAGACTTACATAAAACTTCCAATGTTAGCGCGGATGAAATTGGTTTTTCTCGATTTAATTGCAAAACAACGTTTTCAGCCTCACAGCGAAAAACACGGTCATTCTCAAAACGAGTTGCAATAAAAATTAGTTCTGATTGGGTGTGATAAGTGCCATCGTTCGTTTCAAACTATGGAAAAAATATGATAAGGCATAAACATTAATGTGCAATTATATGATTTATCTTTTACCGCTTTCATCCGAATTTCAGTTAGGTTATTTGTTTCAGCACTTATTAGGTTAGTTGAATTATACCATGAAAGATTAACAGCTGGGCGAGCGCCGTAAATCTGAAAATGGAAAACAGACTTGTTCATAAGTTCAAAGAAATATGAAGTGATATTTTATGCTAAAATTATTATTTTAGTTATTTCAGACAAGAAAACAAGTTTATATACCCTTATTAATATTGCAAAAATTAAAAAAAAAATTTTTCGAACTATGAAAAAAAAAATAAAAAACAGCAAAGTTATAATATTTTTTTCATTTTTTCCCGATTGATCCGGTTCTTTCCGACTGATATACTACCTGCAATAGAAATTGGGAATTGGGAAAGAAAGGTAAAAAACTGAGAGACAAATTTGCGTAGAAACGGACAGATGGAAGGACAGCCGGACGGACAAACGGACAGACGGCCGGACATTCCCGTTTTTTTTTTTTAATTTAATTGTTTGTTTTACATATATATATATACATATGAAAAGAAACTTAATTTGAAAACGACAGTTACCCCTCTCCCGACGGTCTATTGTGTTATAGTGCTTTGGTTGAATGTTTATAGAAATACAATATATTATTATATTATATAAATCTAAATTTAGATGTTTTAATGAATATTTAATTTTTGCCATAGCTGGAAATGTATGTATACTTCGGCTTGCCAAAGTTTTTTCCTTTCTTGTTTTATTTTAAAACTACTTTTATTTCTTATACGACTAAATATCCGAATTGCTGAACGACTTAAAACGTTATTGCTGAATTTGTCCAGCAGCTGTTTGATGAAACAGCTTTTTCAGCTGCTTTTTATCAATTGCCCTAGTTTTGTTTTTTCTAGCTTTTGGTAAAATTTGGAGAAGCTGCACAGAAAAAGCAAAAGAAGACAACATTTGGATTTATTAGCCAGCTATTTACTGTCCAATTACCTAATTCCATTGGAGCAATTGTGGACTTTTCAATAAGCCTGACACACCGACATTTGATTGGCACGATCATTTAAGTTAAATTATTTAAAATGGTTCGACCTTTTGAGTGTTGCAATCCGCTGAACAAGATAAAACACAGTAATGTTAGACATGGTTTAAAAGTTTGTATCTGAAAATTCGAATTCGTCCTCTACCCAAAAATGTAATACCCAATTTAAGTGGACAAGAACACAGCTTCCTTCGTAAAAAATGTGAAGCCCGCTTTAGATTCCGCGAGAGACCATCTGCAAAAATAAATATTTTTATTCTTCTTCTCCTTCTCCAATCTGGCATCACATTCAACTATGTACCAAACCCATTTAAGAATTCAAAGTTAAATGTTTGCAACGAAATAAAGTCAACTTAAAAATAAATAAAGATAAAAGAAAAAGAAAGAACATTAAAAAAACAAAATAATCATTTGATTACCTTTGACCTTTGTGGAACCTTATTACCTACCCAACGTTGGATGTTCGAAGACCCTTACCCCCGAGGCTAAACATTAAAGAACGATTTTATGAACGGCGTTCGATTTTTGTGAACAAACGGATGAAAATTGAGAGCGTCAGCAGGCGAACGAATATTTAAGAACAAAAAAGTTTGTGTGTACGATTTTTATCGATTTTTGCGAATGAACGTTTACTAATTGAGAGCGAAAACAGGCGAACGGAATGTTCGTAAATCAAGAAAATTGTTCTTGATTTTTTCCGTTCTTTTTTTTTTCTGGGTGCATATAACATGATTAAACTATAACATAAAAAACAAAGCACGCTTCGGCAAGCCGAAGTTTATTTGCCCTTGTAGCTGTTGCACAAATTAGCATATACCTCCCATAGGAAAAATCGGAAAAATAAATTTAAAAAATTATCACTTTGATATTTTTCAATTTTTTTTAGTTCTTGGACATATAGTAATGGTTAAATATTTCATAATTACGTTTTAAATTTCATTAAAACCGACGACTATATCATATAGCTGCCATAGGAACTATCGAGTAACTAAGCTGCAAATCATCATAGCTTTGATGTTTTTAAAGATCATAATTTGAATGTCTTCAAGAATATTTAGTTAGGGTATACGAACTTCGGCTTGTCAAAGTTTGTTTCCTTTCTTGTTTGTATGTAACTTACCTATTTTCTTAACGTGTGCTTGTAGACTAACGGTAAGCTTTCATTTTTTTACTGCTCATTCTTTCTGATAACAAAGGCTAAATGTACCGAAAATATGAGCTTTTAAAAGTTAGTTTGAAGATCATTTGGCGAATTTATTTGGAAGAGACAGCTCTTGATTCGGTGAAATTCGGCAAAGGTATTTCAATAATTTAATTACAAAGATTTAAGTAAAATACAAAAATGCAATATTTATAAAAATTAATATTTAATAATTAAATTAAGAACATCTTAAAAATTTTTAAACAATAACAAGAAAGGAAGAAAAATTGGGCTAGCCAATGTTTAAATTCTAAATTTAGATTTTTTTCGCAAGTTTGTTGAAGCTATGACGATTTTAAGCTCAATTACTGGATCGCTTCTATGGTTTCTATCGTTTCCGATTTTAATAAAACTAAAACTTTTATTCTAAAATCACAAATTAAAAAAAAAGGAGAACTTACAAACAAAATCTTTTCTTCTTGCCTCTTATTCTACTCGCGTAATCTGTCATATAAAAATTAATAAAATTTGTATACTCTTGCAGAGGGTATTGTAATTTCAGTCTGATGTTTGCAACGCAGTAAAAGAGACATCTCCGACACTATATAGTATATATATTCTTGATCAGCATCACTAGTAGAGTTGATCTAGCCTTGTCCGTCTGTCAGTCCGTCCGTCAGTTTCTACGCAAACCAGTCTCTCAGTTTTAAAGCTATCTGCATTAAACCTTTCAAAAAGTTGTCTTCATATTGCAGGTAGTATATAAGTCGGAACGAGGCGGGTTGGACTATAGCTTTCTTAAGAACAATACGAAAAATAAACGAAAAAAATGTGTATCTTTGTGAGTTTTGAATTTTTTTTTAGATCTTCGAGATATAGTTAAGGTTTATTTCATATACCCTTGCTGGTGTCCACCGTATTTCTACCTGTGCTTTTATTTTAGACAATTATAATTGAACTTTACGAATACACAAAATACATATTTTTTTTTAGCTTTATTTCTATCGGGATAAGCTTCTTTTTTTATCCAACAATACTCCTCATAAGATGTTGTTGCCTAATAAGATGTTGTTTTAATTTTGAGCTTAACGACCGAAAAAAAAAAAATTTTAGAGGTAAACACGTAATCTAGAAGTCGCACTCTACCAGAAAATTGTATCATGGGCTTGGAGATATTTCGGCTGTTAACTAGTGTTATAAGGGCAAAAACAATAACTTTGCTATTAAAAAAAAAATACGACGACTATATCATATAGCTCCCATAATTCAAATCGGAAAACGATATCATATAGATGCCGAATAAATAAGTATTTATACACATACGCATAAAAATCAAAATTTAAGTGTTTTCAAGAACATTTAATTTGTATAACAGCTACAAGGACAAATAAACTTCGGCTTGCCGAAGCTTGCTTTATTTTTTATGTTATAGTTTAATCATGTTAAATGCACCCAGAAAAAAAAAGAACGGAAAAAATCAAGAATAATTTTCTTGATTTACGAACATTCCGTTCGCCTGTTTTCGCTCTCAATTAGTAAACGTTCATTCGCAAAAATCGATCAAAATCGTACACACAAACTTTTTTGTTCTTAAATATTCGCTCACCTGCTGACGCTCTCAATTTTCATCCGTTTGTTCACAAAAATCGAACGCCGTTCATAAAATCGTTCTTTAATGTTTAGCCTCGGGGGTAAGGGTCTTCGAACATCCAACGTTGGGTAGGTAATAAGGTTCCACAAAGGTCAAAGGTAATCAAATGATTATTTTGTTTATGTTTTTTTAATGTTCTTTCTTTTTCTTTTATCTTTATTCATTTTTAAGTTGACTTTATTTCGTTGCAAACATTTAACTTTGAATTCTTAAATGGGTTTGGTACATAGTTGAATGTGATGCCAGATTGGAGAAGGAGAAGAAGAATAAAAATATTTATTTTTGCAGATGGTCTCTCGCGGAATCTAAAGCGGGCTTCACATTTTTTACGAAGGAAGCTGTGTTCTTGTCCACTTAAATTGGGTATTACATTTTTGGGTAGAGGACGAATTCGAATTTTCAGATACAAACTTTTAAACCATGTCTAACATTACTGTGTTTTATCTTGTTCAGCGGATTGCAACACTCAAAAGGTCGAACCATTTTAAATAATTTAACTTAAATTAAATTTAAAAATACAAAATATATTTTTTTCGATGGTAACCCATGTTGTTGTAAAAATGTCATTCATTTTGAACAGACTAGTCCAAAGTTAGACATTTTTTATTTAAGAGGTGCCTTTAACTTAAAACCGCTCTAAAAAAAACAAATTATTTATTATTATATATAAATAAGTTGTTGTTATTATATAAGTTCTTATTGGTTTAATTTGGATTTGAAATAATTTAAATGTAAACGATCCGAGTTCAGATGATCGTGCCAATCAAATGTCGGTGTGTCAGGCTTATTGAAAAGTCCACAATTGCTCCAATGGAATTAGGTAATTGGACAGTAAATAGCTGGCTAATAAATCCAAATGTTGTCTTCTTTTGCTTTTTCTGTGCAGCTTCTCCAAATTTTACCAAAAGCTAGAAAAGACAAAACTAGGGCAATTGATAAAAAGCAGCTGAAAAAGCTGTTTCATCAAACAGCTGCTGGACAAATTCAGCAAAAACGTTTTAAGTCGTTCAGCAATTCGGATATTTAGTCGTATAAGGAATAAAAATAGTTTTAAAATAAAACAAGAAAGGAAAAAACTTTGGCAGGCCGAAGTAGACATACATTTCCAGCTATGGTAAAAATTAAATATTCATTAAAACATCTAAATTTAGATTTATATGCGCATATGTTAAAAAAAACATTGGGAAAACGGCAAATCATTTCAAATTTTGAGGATCCTTGTCTTTTGGGGTCCTGTTACAAATAATTAGTTTAAAGTTTGCGCCAAGACCGATTCCTTGATAGCTGATAGCTTATGAGAAAAGTGC